TCTCCAGGGCTGGGAAAGTTTTCCCTTTTATTTGAGAGTTTCTCTTTTTCTTGTCTTTTTAAGTTTATTATGTCATCCCCCCAGAGCGCCTGTTGGGTTTATGTTGGACCGTTATATCTTTCCTCTGTGTCTCTTGGCATGATCTTGACATTTTTCTGTCAACATCCTGGGAAATATGCTCGGCTTTGCCTTCCAGCTTCCTGTGCTCACTGTACATTTCCCGGGCTTGCTGCTCTCTTCTCACACAACATAATATTGTTGATTTTTTAAATTATTTATTTATTTATTTATTTGGTACGGGGTCTCAGTGCATAGCTCAGACTCCTAGTGATCCTCCTGTCTCAGCCTCCCCAGCCCTGGGATTGCAGGTGTGCGCCACCACACCTGGTTTCAGGGCCAGCACAGCATGTAGTACCAGGGATTGAACTCCAGTCTTTGCACGTGCCAGGCAGGCACTTACGCCACTGAGCTATCTCCCCAACCCTATGTTTTACTTTTAAGATGTTTCGTGTTCCTCTTTTAAAATATACAATACAGGGCTTGGGAGATAGCTCAGTGGCACGTGCCTGCCTGGCAAGCACAAGGTCCTGAGTTCAATTCCCAGTACAAAAATAATAATAATAATAATAACAACAACAACAACAACAACAGCAGCAGCAGGTGCAATAGCCAGTGCTTACCCCACGTGTGCAGCACTCCTCCTTTCTTGCTCCTGGGATGGAAGGACAGAGTGAGTGTAGTTAGATGAGCAGTTAGTTTCCACCTCAGCTTTGGTTCCTTCCCAGTGCATCCTGCTCAGTCGCCTTGGCTTTGTGCTCTCATGAAGCTGGTTCTTCTAACCTGCCCAGCAGCATGTGGCTGCTCGTTGGATTTGTGACTAGAGGTCAGGGCGGTCTGCCTAAGCTCGAATCTGCAGCGTGAAGATCAGCTTACTACAGGCTTGTCTCTCAGAAAGGAGCCTCTTAGTTGTTCCGCAGTTGTCACATCTGGTCAGCTGGCTTAATTATTTATGTATTTATTTATGTATTTATTTATGTATTTATTTATTACCAGGGATCAAACTCTGATAAAGTTTCCTTCCTCC